TCAGTTTTCACAAGAAATCAAAAATATCACTTTTTACCAAAATTAGAGAATTAAACGCACTGTCACAAAATGAACAAATTTAAAAGAGGTCTACCCAGGGTACATATACAATCAATTATCAAAGCAATCAGACTTGTAATTTTCAAGAACAAGTTGAAAAGGTAAAAGGTAGACAAAAACAAGGACAAGCGCCAGACAACAGACAAGCACTCATATGATAACCACCGCTCGACAAAGTTAACCACAGAGCTAAAAAGAGGGATCTAATAACTTCAGCAAACAGTTCAAAAATCCATGGAAATCTCAGACTTTTACTGAAAAATATTGCTTTTTGTTATATCTTCAACCAGAAATTACCATGTGTGATTGAGTGACTTGATACCCTAGCATGCTGAAAATTCAGTCACAACAAAATCTATAAAACTGCTTGGTGATGTTCGGCTATTGGCAAATAATTTCCGAACTAACTAGTTACATTTATAACACATATTACTTGACATGGCCTCACACAACATTTCACCAACAATACAACCAACAATAAGTAGAGAAAAAATATAAGAAACAATGCCAAAACTAAACAAACCAAAAATTTATTGATAACATATATTTTAATATAAACAAACATGAATTACATTATTGTGTAATAACATATGGAATTGTGATACAAAATATACAGAATAGACAGGAAATGAAAACTGTGTTTATACTGAAGATCAGTCACAGTTGTAGAGAAATGATTATATTTTTAATTTAAGCTTCCATTGGTTGTGGTTGTGATGATTGCATGTTGTGTGGATATGTTTGATCCTCTCGACGAGTGTTCACTTTAGCTTGAACTTTGTTAAATCTGAAAATAAAAAAAAATAAAAACATATTAGCAAACATTCAATGTGTGAAGTGAATTACCCCACTATATGATGGGCAGAGTGTATTCATTTAAAAATATTTATGTGCAAGAAAATATATAGAAAACTATATAAAAAAGGAATGCTAATGCTTGGTTTGCGTTTACTCTTTTGCGTGATGGATTGCCTGTCACAAGCTTACTGTCCTCTAGGTAAACACCTTTTGAGATACCGTATTTGCTCTTATGTGAGTTTATGAGTTTATATTCTAATGATCAAATATAAATGAATGCAGTGTTTATGTGTGCTTCTCACTAGACTAAGATTTCAGTGTTACACATGTCACAGTCAAAATCAAACTTCACAAGATTTACAAAATGCTGGCATTACAGCTATGTCTATTTTTAAAAACGATGATACTCACTTGCTAAGTTTAAATAATTTGTCATCTTCCACTGGTATTTCTTTCTTTTCACTTGCACTAAATTTGGTTCTTCTCTGTGTTGATGTTTGTCCTGACACAGGCTTATCCACTCCTTTACCAATTGCTTCTTGGTATTCAGAGACTGTTGCCGCATTTGCAGGTACCAGTTTCCTCTTTTGGTCAATCACAGACTGTTGTTTTTTATAATATTTTTCTCTTTCCAGAACCCAATCTTTCTGGTATCCCATACTAAGTAATTTATTGAAGGCCACTGGCTCAGTGTCATTCACTCCAGGTCTGCAAATAACAGAGCATGTGAATTTAAAACACGTATACAGATGTCAGCTAAATTGGCTTCCTATATCATATCAAGCTAATAATTGGTACTAATATTTACACTGCATCATGTTAATATGTCACAGTCATCACACTGCATCATGTTAATATGCCACAGTCATCACACTGCATCATGTTAATATGTCACAGTCATCACACTGCATCATGTTAATATGTCACAGTCATCACAATGCATCATGTTAATATGTCACAGTCATCACACTGCATCATGTTAATATGCCACAGTCATCACGCTGCATCATGTTAATATGTCACAGTCATCACACTGCATCATGTCAATATGTCACAGTCATCACACTGCATCATGTTAATATGTCACAGTCATCACACTGCATCATGTTAATATGTCACAGTCATCACACTGCATCATGTTAATATGTCACAGTCATCACACTGCATCATGTTAATATGTCATGCTGTGATAAATTGAAACATACTATTTTTTCTTCATTTTGATATCAATTTTCTCCAAATTTAGTATGGTGACCCAATTTTTAAGTTGATTTAATTTTATCACTTTTAAATTGAAATAAAATCAAAAGTCACATTTAAGTAACTGAAATTACTGGGATACCGGTATACTTAATTTTGAGTACCATACCTTAAAGGAAGAAATTATTATTACAACTATTCAATTTACCTGTTTTTTAACGCATTTTACACTCAATACACCACAAACCTGTTATCATGAACTTTGGGTCACGATTTTGGCATTACCGACCACAGTGACAGAAAATAATGATTAGTTAAACACACAAAGTAATAATAAGTGACAATAACTCTCTGGAGTAGTGTTTAGGTAGAAGCCAATTATTTGAGAAATCCCTGGTTTCCAATTATGAGTTGGTATAACTCCAGAGATACATCATTGAGAGTTATTGTCCTTAATAATGAAAATATTGCTCTATTTGCAACTATGAAGCAACATGCATGAAGATTGTTAAGCCATTGTTATGATATAATGCACACCATACATGATATGATGCATACCATATTGATATGATACACACA